ATACAAAAATACATGTACTTTCGTGAAAAAAAAACTATAAAAATATAAAAAAATATGTACCTACAACCACAACCTAGTCCTAAAAAAAATTAACTACATATTGAAGCATAACCAATCCTTATAAAAATCTTTCATCAGATAGTATAGGAGCTGACAGATTAGTTATTCCACAAATAATTGTAAATATTTCATCAATTTTTGAAACTAATGACCACTGCAACTTTCCACTAATAATGTTAAAGATTTTTAACCTCTGATTAGACCTTTCAATATGCACTCGTGCTGCAGCAATTTCTTTATTACAAATAGCTTCTTCAACTGTAAGTTGCTTTTTGTTTCGTAAAAATGGTGGTCTTATTAAGTTAATTTTATACATAGCACATAAATTGTCAATCAGAAAACCTTTGTCAACCATGATTGAATCTCTATTAGGTGTTAACAATTTAATTAGGTCACTTTCCTCAAAAATTAATTTATCGGATGCTCTTCCACCATAAGATTTACTGATGAAAGTTATTATCCCCCCAGGAGACACCCCAGTCATAAACTTGACAGTTGTAGATTTTTTATATTGGGAATAAAACTTAATTCTACAACACAAGCAGCTTGGTTTTTGAATAAAGATTTCTGTACAATCTAAAACAACTCGACAATTCTTAAAAGATTCAAAACATTTTGGCAAATTTTTTGAGATTTCTTCTTCAGAAGGAAAATAAATACATGATTTAAACACTTGACTTAGAATTGTTAAAAAATCAAAAAAATATGTTTTGCACAGCTGACCAGATATATTAAATAGTGCACCCAAAGTAATATAACTTAAGTCCAATTTTAATTTTGCCATTGTTAAAAGAACTCTCTCTCGCACATCTAGACGATGTGATCTTGTATCAATTGTAAATTTTTTTTTTACTATTTCCACAATACATTCTAGAATTTGAAAATTATTAATGCCTGTAAAACTTCTTAATGCAGAATCGGTTTTTAGTAAATCACTCAGTGTGTTGATTTTAGGTGTGTCCACTTGCACTTCTGAATCTCGCACAGTCACTTTCCTGTTTTGTAAAAGCACACTATCTACTTCCTTATCACTAACATCTGGTGTAGATTTCAGCAAATCTATTAAGCTACCTGCTTCATCATCTTGGTCATCTTCATTGGAGTCCTCATTTGTGCTCGTACATAAATCAGTTTCGTTTTGATTGGACAATTTTCTCTTTTTGTATCTAGAAGCACGATCAGATGATGATGTTGCAGTTGCAGATTTTGCTGAACTAACTGTAGAAATGGGAAGATTTTGAGAAGGTACTGCAGTCTTTTTGAGAACTCTACCCCTTTGTGTGGTTAACCCTGCAATAGAAAAGAAACAAACTAAATTAACATTTAAATTTTGTCACTTCAATAAAGAATATTTTTAAAATTAAAATTTAAATGAAATCACTCATTATTATACTTAGTATTTACCTTTGTTAAAATAATCATCCTTGACAAAATGAAGAGAGCACACTTTCATAGTTTCGGAAACTTGCTTGCCAATTTTAAGTTTCAATATCCAAGCTTTTCTTTGATCCATTAAACACTTTCCCATCTTATTTTCGACATAAACTTTCCTAGCATCCTTTTTGGGAAATCTGTGAAAGCTTAATTCTCCTTCAGGGTCTTTTTTGGCCCAGGATTTGCACTGTGGCACACAACAAAAATTGTTATTGAACGCCATGCTTTGGTACACTGGTTCACTGGTCGTTTCTCCTTTTTTAACCGACTTCAAAAAAAGAGGAGGTTATACGTTCGACGCGTATTTTTTTTATTTCTAATCCTAACACAACACGCGATAACAGAAAAACAAATATAATTTTGAAAAAGACACAAAATGAGTGTAAACATTAGATAAACAATCGATATAAAAGTAAGGTTAGGAAATAATGTGGCAGAAACCAGTTGATTTTAGAGCCACCAGAGGGCGTATCGCTTCTCTTGAATTCCCAATAAGGCCGTCGACGAGCCGTCGATCCAAAACCGAAAGTTCAAAATTTCTAATTATATTCTGATTATGATATTGTCGCGCCATCTAGTATTCTATTTGTGCAATTTTACTTTCATTTCGAGTATTTTTCAGTTGCGTAGCTAGATATTCTGTGTTTGTACTGAATTACGCGTTTCAATTTAAAATTTTTGCAAATTTGGTAAAAATTGTTCTAAACAACTTTTTGTTCAAGTTGTATATTCATAAAAAACATTTGGTTCATAATTATTTTTGATGATTACCTACCTTGTATTTTTAATATAAACCTAGAAAAAATATGTTTTTGTTTTATTTTTTTTATTCGTCCCTTCAAATTGTGTTACAAAAACTGTTACATAACATGTCCTCTAACAAATATTTTCATAATACATAAACATCATTGATTTTATTAAGGGTATTATTATTAAGTATTTATCCTGGTTTTTGTCGACAATAAAAACTCAATCTTGTAATAGAACATCAATTTTATATTTCGTAAAGTTATTTTGATACAAATTCAATTTGTCAATATTCAAGTCATTAATATATTGATAAACAACCCAAATAATTCCTAAATATTTTATTATAAAAAAAACTGTTACCGGTAAGTTTGTAAAACACATTATGGTTTGTCTTAATACTAGAAAAAATCATTTATTTTTTTTTGCACAAAAAAGCTTGTCGATCCTTATTTGTCCATAACAAAATTCTGTATGTACAACATACATATACCTAATTTATTATTAAGAAAATTAGATTATATGATCTCAGAATTTTAAGAAATTTTTTAAAGATAAAATAGTTTCTTCTCAACTGTAATATTGTCAACTTTGGCCTGTATTTTATCTATTTAAAAAACATGGGATTGACAATCCCTTACTAAAATACATACTGGAAGGTACTGATTAAGTTTCATTGCATCAAATACCTTTGCTATAAATCCTGCCTCACAATTTAAGGCCATTGCAAAATGCTTTTGAACTTCATCATAGATTTCACAAGAATAAAAGTGTAATATTGAAACAAACACTCTTAAAGTAAAAGGGTAAGCTTCATGACTAATAGTTTCATTTTTAACACTCTTTAAATATCATCTCGTTAACAATTATGAATATTATATGATTTTTCTCAGTGATTTGTGGCACAGATACAAATTAATATATGCCCCATAACAGTTTTTAAATAAGAAACTTCTGCCTACAGATTTAATTTTCTTATTGGCATAATACCCTTTCTTCCTATATAAATCTTGCCATTTTCTCAGTCCAATGTTCCTTGTTTTACAGTTGTGTAGGAATACTAAAAATGTTGACTATAGAACTTCGATACTATGTTTGAAAAAGCCTTCATACCTGTAACTGTGCATAAATCTAATTAACTGAATTCTCCTCCTCTTGACACTCTAAACACTGTTGCTGCTAATGTTAGAAATATTTAGCACAAAACTACAATTACCTACAACAAACTTTACAATAAAAATGTTAAATTTTCGCTGTTCGATTAAAATACCCTATCTTATGTTTTCTTTTCCTCCAAATAATCTTCTTGTCAAGTAAGGACCAATCTTATTTGACATATTTCTGGTACACTTGAACTTGTGCTTTCATGGACACTATAAGAGTGCACTGTTTTACAGAAGCACGAACATTGATTCCAAGTATCTTCTTCCTCCACATGTAATAAAAACATCCTCTTTAAATGGCCACATCATACACTTATTTTTGACCATTCCCAATTACAATCACGATTTTTACAAATCGCCTTTAGGAAAACTAAAAATAAACAGTTTTGGATCATCTGTAAACACGATTATGTTGTATAAACTTACACATGAAAACTAATCATTTTTCCCGGCGTATTAGCTTTCTTAGAATGACTATGACAATATACAACAAGCCTTTTTGAATTAGTGTTTAGAATAATTGAGATAATAAATTTTAACTAGATAACAACACAAACGAAAAAAAAAACAAAACAAACAGATGTCAATTAAAGAGGGGAAGTGACAGCGAGACCTGGAAGATGTCTGCCTTCTTGCCGTCGACAAAAATTTGGATGCGCACTCGTCGAAGCTCATTCTCCCACTTCCATATCTCTGAGTATGACTAAAATGTAAGGTTTTTGACTTATTTAACTTTTTTTAAAAATGAAACAAAATTTTTAAATATCAATAAAAGCTACCTAAATTGGAATTTACCAGGTATAGCCTAATATGTAGATAAGATAACTATTGTACTATAAATCAAATTAAAAATCAACCCAAAAAATTATAGAGTGGGACAAAATTAATATTGAACATTGGTCACCTCTAAAAGCAAGTTACACTTTTATTATTATACATTAATATACAGTATATTATTCCGAAATTCAATGGGGAATTCATGTCTCTTTAAAATACTATTAGGGTTGCCTATCTCTAAAACAATTATTTTTATTTTTATGATTTAGTGTCAATATATCTTATTATTTGATGAAATCTAGGTGGCTGTGATATGTCTGACGTTACTTCAACATACCTGTCAAGTAGATCAATTTTAACAACTAGTTATCATTTTGTGTCAGTTATAACAAAAAATATTCTTAGAAATTTGCCGAAACTGGAAACTTATCCTACAGCAGAGAGAATTGATATGATACTATTAGTTGATGAATGTAGTGTGCATTCATCAATTAATAGAATACTTAAATGCTCCTGATTTTATCTACTCTGGGCTTTTTTTATGCGGATATGTTAAAGACAGTGTTTACAAAACTCGGCCAACTATTGTCGACAACATGAGAGAAATGACTATAGTTGCTGTCCGATTTGGCGCGTGTCCGAATTAGAGAAAGTTCTACTGTACAACAAAAATAACATACAAAATATCAATTTCCTAATTAATGAACATTTTTTAAATATTGACGAATTCTCTGGACTTTAGAAGACAACAATTTTATATTATAAGCTTATGTTTTATTAAATATAAGTTTTAAAATATTTGTTTTTTTATTGACTTACCATAAATAAATTAAGTTAAACAAATTAGTGTTTGCCCTTCGTAAATTTTATCTTGAACTTTATCACTGCTGGTCGATTTTTCCGCTGGAATGGATAGACAGGCACAGAGAAAAGTCAAAATCGTCCCACCTATAGCTAAGTACAGTCCTAAGCCTATCGAACAATCTCCTAAAATTAGAAAAAATATATCTTCTATATAGGAAATATTTTATAGAGTCTACCTAGATAAAAAGCAGAAGACTCCCTACCACATAATCTATGAGCTCTTTCAGTACCCCAAGCCATGGGCTGAAGCATCACACCCAATATAAAACAAATTCCTGAAAAAGATATCATGTAACATAGGTGCCATAGCCACAATAGGCCCTCGCGGCCGCAGTGGAGGGTCCCACCTGGGATCCACTCTTAGTCAATACAATACAATACAACATAGGTACTATATGATCAGAAAAAAAATACGTCCTGTTGGCTTTGAAATGACGAACCGTGACATTCCCCATATAATTTTACATATAAAATGACAGCGATCTTCATATCATAACCAACACTGAAGCTGTTGATTTTTTTTGATCATATTGTACTTTATTCAGTAGCGGCTGGTGCCAAAGATCACAGTAACACATTACCCAACTAATAAGTATATAAAAAGAAATAAATATATAATAATTATAAAACGAAATGTCATATGCCTGAAAACTAGAAGGGTAGACTTTATGTACTAAAAACAAGTAGAAAGTTTTTTCTTGTGGAGGTTCCCACCCATCTTCAGAACTCACAAGCTGCCACTGACTTTATTGCTATATGACCGAAAATGACATTTCCCATATAAATTTATATATATAAAATGACAGCAATCTTCATTTCATAGCCATCGCTGACGCTTTTTTCTCGATCATACAGTATAATATAGTAGTAGGTACCTGCAATGCATTGGGCAGCTCCTGACAGTGTAAAAATGCTTTTCTTGAACAGGCTTTGAAAACAGCAACTTAGCAAACTAGTACATACTGTGAGGGACATCACTACTATACCTAAAATGTATTTTTGTCTAATATGTATTATTCTCTTTAACATAAATGTACTAACCCATTGCTAGAAACACTGTGGCAGCCTTCCAAACACCTGGATACACTGTACTATCAGCAGATAAACCTTTCGCCGACATGAGTGTACAAATAGCATGATGTTTTCCTACTGGTTTTCCACATTTAGCATAAACACCTAGGCTGGGAGTGTATGGTATTGTTTGATTATCTAAATATGCACTTTGAGGTGCGCCAGTAATCCAACTTGGATTGAATAAGGCGCTGAGCATCATCATTGTGCAAAGTAGACCCAAAAGCATCCATATCAGACTTCTAAAATTATAATGTTTTAACTTAGTTGTTATTCATTGTATAAGTTTTTACCTTGCTGTGACAATAAAAAATTGCATTGTGGCTCACATTGGAGTACTGAAATGTGTTAAATTGATGTTACAACCTAATTATGCAAATATAGCCTTACGTTTTAAATATCATTTAGCAAAGCAATTTCTATATGAATTTTATTATCTTTATCAAATATGACGTACTTTTTAGTTTGTATATGACGTAGAGTGGAGAGTTCATTTTAAACCTGTCGCATCAATTGTAACTATGAGCTGAGCAAAATTATCACTAAAATTTACCTGTAAATTATCATCCACAGGGCTAATTAATTAAATACGCACTCAAACCACATTATTTCATTTAATACTCGGGAAAAGATGTGGGAGGAATACAGGAATGAAATGTAGCCAGTTGTAGCAAAGAATTAATTTATATTCTAGTACGTAGTGTGGTTGGTGTGGTTCTGCATTCTAATCAGCTGATATCAACAGTCAACAACACATGGGTGGGACTAGGCGGGAAAGAGTGGGACCCAAAGGGTGGGACCTTGGTGGGACCCTTTGAATAAAGCCCCGTTCTCAGAACTGCGACTGTCGCCAGCGACACGACAAAAGAACCAATCAGATTTGTACAAAATTCAAACAGCTGTCAATTTTAAATTTAGTACAGCTCCCATTGGTCGTTTGAAGTGTCAATCAGTGTCGCTGTCGACACGACGCAGTTCTGAGAACGGGGCTT